CTTAACTACATCAAATTGTGAATAAGAACGAAAACACTGACTCGTCTGTTGTAATTTCCAATAATCTTGATAACATCTTTTATTTCAAACTCGCATATTAAACATATTTTTCAACTTTGGACGGGTTAACAATGGCGAGGCGTCCGTCATTGACTACGAGGTCAAGTGGGTAGGTCATTGCCAGCCACGTCAGGAGAAATTTTACCATAGCCAAGTCTTCCTATGTTCGTCCTGTATCTTATATACCGAACTTCGTGATACTTGGTAAATAACGGCAATCTTATCTTTCGACTATCTCAAAATCTCCCCAATCTCTGAAAATCTCTCCCAGTATCTGAAAAACTTTCTCAGTCTCTGAAAATCTCTCTCAATCTGAAAATCTGTCTGAAAATCTCTCTCGATCTCTGAAAATCTCTCTCGACCTCTAAAAATCTCTCTGAAAATCTCTCTCAATCTCTCAAAATCTCGAGTATATATCTTTCTCACACACTCGTAAAGTTAATATTTATAAGGTTTCTTCTTCTATTCAAGAAATCTTTACATTTTCTTGTCTATAATTACATTTTTCACACTCGTCCCACAAAGTTGCGACGTTACCATGACATATGATCCTCGCCGCCCCATAATTAAATCTTCAAACTAAAAGTTACATCGCAAAAGTTGTGCCGCTTCCATCAGCAGTTTGTAATGCGTCTTGGTGGTGCTCCGGTGGCTTCCGTGCGTCTTGGTGGTGCTCCGGTGGCTTCCGTGCGTCTTGGTGGTGCTCCGGTGGCTTCCGTGCGTCTTGGTGGTGCTCCGGTGGCTTCCGTGCGTCTTGGTGGTGCTCCGGTGGCTTCTGTGCGTCTTGGTGGCTTTCCTGGCTTCCGTGCGTCTTGGTGGCTTTCCTGGCTTCCGTGCGTCTTGGTGGCTTTCCTGGCTTCCGTGCGTCTTGGTGGCTTTCCTGGCTTCCGTGCGTCTTGGTGGCTTTCTGGCTTCCGTGCGTCTTGGTGGCTTTCCTGGCTTCCGTGCGTCTTGGTGGCTTTCCTGGCTTCCGTGCGTCTTGGTGGCTTTCCTGGCTTCCGTGCGTCTTGGTGGCTTTCCTGGCTCCCGTGCGTCTTGGTGGCTTTCCTGGCTTCCGTGCGTCTTGGTGGCTTTCCTGGCTTCCGTGCGTCTTGGTGGCTTTCCTGGCTTCCCGACGTCTTGGTCGCTTTCTTGCGTCTTAGTGGTGCTCCAGTGGCTTTCCTGACTTCCCTGAGTCTTGGTGGGGCTCTGGTGATTTTTCTGGATTTCCTTCGTCTTGGTGGAGTTCGGTGGCTTTCTTGCTTCTGGGTGGAGCTCAGTGGCTTCCCTGCGTCTTAGTGGTGCTCCGGTGGATTTCCTGGCTAAACCTTATAATGTGTTCCATATTGAGTGTCCTGAAATTGTCCTTGTGGTCAAAATGAATCTTACAGGAACAGTGATGTTAAACTTGTCAACTGTTACTGCAAGTGGTTAAAAGAAAGGCAAGCAAACTCTAGGCCATATTTATTAGAAAAGTTTCCCCTGGGACCCTGAACCAAGATCCGAGGACCGAAACGTTTTTTAATAAATATGTCCTAGTGAATAATAAAAAAGGCACAACACCGTGACTGGAACGATACACAAATAACCCGCACATAGAAGAGAGGAGCTTACGACGACGGTTCGGTCCGACTTTGTAAATGGTCCAAGTCGGACCGAAACGTCGTCGTAAGCTCCTCTCTTCTATGTGCGGGTTGTTTGTCCTAGTGTTTGCTCCCTTGTCTATGTAAGCCACATTCATGATACAAACCTTGGTAATAGATACCAACAAATTGGTGTAGAAAGAAATGTAAGCAAACACTAGGACATGTTTTAGAAAAACGGTGCTCCGTGGCCTGGTGGCTAAAACTCGCTTCACACGGCGAGTGTCTGCGTTCGATTCCCATCGCTGGTAGAAACATTGGGTGTGTTTCTTTACACCGGTTGTCTATGTAAATCCATCAGTAAAGTGGGTACCTGGGTGTTAGTCGACTGGTGTGGGTCGCATCCTGGGACAAAGACCTAATGTGCCCGAAATGCTCAGTATAACAAGGGTCTTTTTATATAATAGTATGTCAAGTAAAAGAACACAAGTGCAACTAATGTGACATTTTAGTGTGGCAACGTTTCGCTCTCCAGGAGCTTTATCAAGCCATTACAAACAATACATGGACACAGAGGGTATATAAAGGCTCAGAGTGAGGTGCAATACGAGTGAGGTACAAAAATAATACAGTATGGTAGAGCAATTAATTCGTACATGAGTAAAAGCATAAAAAAGCTATTACTTGGGTAACATAAAAATAGGTTGGACAAATATATAGACTGTAAAGAGGCAGGTTGTTTCAGTGTTCACACTGTAATGTGTTTTGTGTAGTATAACAGGAGAGACTATGTAATGGCAGGGTTTACTGTTTTCAGGAGGATTCTTGCTAAGACTTCGGAGATGGTGAAGCTGCCGTTGTTTTGTTTAATTGTATTCGAAACAGCGATCAGTGCTGATTCGAGGCACTTGCGTCTGCGGAAATTAATTTCTTTGATCACTAATTGGGCGTCTCTGAATTTCATGAGATGATTGGTGGAATTTCGGTGTTGTACACAGGCGTTGTTCAAGTTATCGTTCCTACATGCGTAAATGTGTTCATTGAGGCGGGTGTCGAGGTTTCTTGCTGTTTCACCTACGTAGATCTTGTCACAGCCTCCACAGGGTAGAGTGTAAACTCCTGCATTGACTGGTTCGTGGTGCTTGGATTTTGTCCTGGTTAGATCCTTTATTGAAGTGCTAGAAGCTATGGCGACTCTGGTGTTAGCTTGTGAAAGTACTTTTGAGACGTTTAGAGTAACTTGGCTGTGGCTGTGGGGACACCGTGGCGTCGGTGGCTGTGGGGACACCGTGGCGTCGGTGGCTGTGGGGACACCGTGGCGTCGGTGGCTGTGGGGACACCGTGGCGTCGGTGGCTGTGGGGACACCGTGGCGTCGGTGGCTGTGGGGACACCGTGGCGTCGGTGGCTGTGGGGACACCGTGGCGTCGGTGGCTGTGTTATGAACTAAAGCGGCATTGACTCGACTGATATAAATAAAAATTCAACGTGAAGACAAGTCCTTATTGCAGATCAAGTTTCAGTCTGGACGAGTTTTAAGTCATTCGATGGAGCTCTGTTATTAGTTGATTTGTCAGGGATAAAGTTTCGTTCCGAGGATATTGGTCATTTGATGACCCCATTAATGGCTTAGGAACTTCGCAAAGATTTTTGATAGTTGAATAAATATGCTTTATAGTTGTCTTTTATCATGTCTCACTAAATGGTTATAACTGTGATCATAATTTTTAAAGGGATGGACCGGTAAGCCAGCGGAAGGCTCCAGTCAGATAACCAAAAGCTCCAACGGCGGGTTATCCTCTAAGACCCGCGTCAGGAAACACTTGTCCTGTTTCCTAACGAACCTACCTAACCTCTATCACGTGCTCACTCCCGGTATATGTATTAATATTTAGTAGAGCTCTTAGGTAATTTAGTGTTGTGTAGAATCGCGAAATAGGGGATAGTAACACAAAAATGCAGGCTTATATATCCCGTCGCAGCTGGAGAGAGCAGGAGGAGGAGGGTTAAAATTAGATAGGGAATGTTTAACTAGGTGAGATACAAGATTAATTAGGCTTTGTTCTTCACGTTTAATAATTTGGCTCCACTCGAAAGTAATTTTATGAGAGGTGGAACGAAAAAGCCCCTTGATACACAAAATGTCATACATCCCCATTGTTAATATCTGGCTCACCTTATGGGCATCAAGGGATCCCCGCCCACATGGAAATCCATACGAGAGGCAAAGCTAAGTCAGCTCTAGCCCCGCCCAGCCCAGCTGTGCTCAGGGCTTCTGTCCCGCCCCGCCCAGCCCAGCCCAGCTGTGCTCAGGGCTTCTGTCCCGCCCAGCCCCGCCCCGCCCCGCCCCGCCCCCGCCCCGCCCCGCCCCGCCCAGCCCCGCCCACCGCTCCCCGCCCCGCCCCGCCCCGCCCGCCCCGCCAGCCCCGCCCAGCCCCGCCCGCCCCGCCCAGCTGGGCTTAACACAGCACAGCTCAAGTCAGAGTTAATTGGCTACTATTAGATTTGACTGCAACGATCGGATATCTCGCTTTAACATATTGCTCCTTATCATTCAAGACATTTATTAACGCAATATTGCTAAAAAAATATTTATTCTTGCCTTTTTT